TCACCAGCAGTTAGTGTTGCAGTGTTTAACTTGACACAGTTATGGCGTATCCAAAACTGTTTTCTGTTTTACATGGATGAAAATGGGAAGAAATTAAAAAGATTTTTTGAAACATCAGGTTTTGTCACACCTATGAATTTTGTGTTGCTTATGATACACCCACCAATTTTGTGTATTATATGTTCTTTTGACTTAAGTTTGTAAAAGCTATAGAGTGCTTTTGGGTCAGGATAAATTAATTTGCATGTTGTTGTGGTTTTTTTTTTCGTTTTTTTTTTTTGGGCCCATACCTAATGACCTCCTGATCATCTTGGTTTCAAAGTTCAGCCCAGTGTAGGACTGCTCCAAAGTTTGCTGAGCTCATCATAAAGTTGTTTGGGTGTGCATGCAGTTGGAGCCACTCCAAGCATTTGGCATACCAAGGTGAGGGAATTTTTAATCAGTGCAGACAGAGCATCTGCATAATATAGGATGAGATTAGGGTCATTGCTGCAACATCTGACTGGCACTTGCATACATTCCGTAGTAGTGGCATATGTCTGATATATATTATATATATTGCTCATTCTAGAGAAGTTTTCAACATGCCCAGACATTGCTGGCAATCTGATTTAGATGGTGAACAAGTTTCATGTTTTAAGTTTTATGTTTGATGCATTTGTGTATGTTTGAATGCCATGAAAACACAAGGCATATAGTGTCATGGGGTTGTAGATAACTTAACATATATTTAGGATTGTCCCAAAAAAACTACACAAGGTAGACACAACTCAGAAAAGAAACAAACACCCTTGGATCTTACCATGCCAACTCAAAATCTCCTATATTTAGTGAACGGGCTCATTTAAATCAATCCTGTTTCCATCTGTGCTGTTTGAAGGTAAGATTTGAAGGTGACTGAGTTCATCTTGAAAGACATGGAGTACCAAATCCTTCAGGCTAACAAAATAAAGCCCTAACATTGATTTCTATGAGAAGTGATATAATTTTATATAGGAAATGTTGGTTACCACTCTGACTTTTTCTTTCAAATCTGTACCACAATTGCTAGATCTCGTAAGAACGAGACCTCGTCATATTAATACATCACGATATTTCTTGTTCAGGTGACTGCTACTTCACAAGCACTACTCTTAAATCATTTGTTGGCAGCATTTGGGAATCCAGTAGAAACGATAAATGGCAACAGAGTGACAGACAAGACACAAACAGTATGTAAACACTGCAAAAACATATTACCGTACACTGCAGCTAACTCTAGCACAATGCAAAGACACATTCAGAACAGCTAGTGTAGCATGCTTACATCAGCAGCACCTCTAAAGACCATACCCAAAGACAGACAACGCTGAAAAATGCCTTTGCTCCTCATTTGATCTTTAAAATTGTATTGAAAGTATTATTAAAATCTTATCCCTTCTCGTTCTTGTGAACTTAATATCGTGTCTCGTCTCATCTTGTGACTTTTATGTATCGTTACTCCCCTACCAATTGCACAAGAAAACATTTAAGTACTATCTAATCATCAATATATATGACTGCACCTGCTTATTTCAACTTGTGCTGTTTTTAAAGGCATCAGTTGACTCTACGATTTAAATTCTTAAATCTCTCACTTATTTTCAATTAAGACTTTTCTCAGTTTTGATGTGCAATTTTTGAAGAGGAAAAAAGATTGAGCACTTATCAGTGCATCATATCCCTGTGTGCAAAAGTATTTTTATGTGCTTCATCTACATGCTATCATTTGACAATTCAATTGAGCTTAATATTTAATATTTTTCTAACAAGAAGAAATCTAAATTTCAACATCACTGTGCACTAGAAAGCTTGCACACATTCTGTGTTTTACAATGTCCTAATTAAAGGGTTCAGAAATCTCTGATAAAGTGTGCCACCCATCCTTGTTCAGCCATCTGAATTCATTGTTTCTGTAGGCCTACATGTTTTAATTTTTGCTTCTCCAGCCTTTTTACTTTTTAAGACTTTTAAATATCCAGTTTATATCCATTTTATGTGCTGTTTGTCATCCACTTTTGATCTAAGTTCAGTTTAAGTAATGCCTTTGATAGAATTGATTGCCCTGGGAGAAAAATCGATGGGCTGATCCCAGAGACTTTTGCTTGACTGCTCATGGACCTCCAATGATGGCTCTGAAACTCACATGCGAAGATGTACACACACCTAGGCACAAACACTCAAGTAGCTGTCTGTAATTACACATTGAAAAAATGTGGGCCTGGAGGGAGTTCTGGAAATAATGCTCAATAAGGTAAGTACTGGTTGATGCATAAAAAGGAAGGGATTTTAAGACTTTGTTGCTTAGAGTTATTGCAGTTCATCGCTTATAGTCAAAAATAGATTATACATTTTGTGGGGCAGCTGTATTTCAAAACCAAATGAGATTTTCTCTGTTTACCAATGACAAGATTCATTCAGCCTGATCAGTGCTAATAAAAAAAATGAAAATAAATATCAGACAAGAAACATCAGTTTGGAGACCTAACAAAACAGGCACCAGATGTTAGGATTTTAAAGTGCTTTTTCGTGAGCCTGTCTACCTGGAATTTATCACAGTGGCCATTGACAGCTTTTGACAATAACTTATTCGAAACATTAACATTCTGAAAGCATTTAGATATACAGAGGTTGGACAATGAAACTGAAACACCTGTCATTGTAGTGTTGGAGGTTTCATGGCTAAATTGGACCAGCCTGGTAGCCAGTCTTCATTGATTGCACATTGCACCAGTAGGAGCAGAGTGTGAAGGCTCAATTAGCAGGGTAAGAGTACAGTTTTGCTCAAAATATTGAAATGCACACAACATTTGGTGACATACCAGAGTTCAAAAGAGAACAAATTGTTGGTGCACGTCTTGCTGGCGCATCTGTGACCAAGACAGCAAGTCTTTGTGTTTGTATCAAGAGCCACGGTATCCAGGGTAATGTCAGCATACCACCAAAAAGGGACAAACCACATCCAACAGGATTAACTGTGGACGCAAGAGGAAGCTGTCAGAAAGGGATGTTCGGGTGCTAACCCGGATTGTATCCAAAACATAGAACCACGGCTGGCCCAAATCACGGCAGAATTAAATGTGCACCTCAACTCTCCTGTTCCACCAGAACTGTCCGTCCGGAGCTCCACAGGGTCAATATACACGGCCGGGCTGCTATAGCCAAACCTTTGGTCACTCATGCCCAATGCCAAACGTCGGTTTCAATGGTGCAAGGAGCGCAAATCTTGGGCTGTGGACAATGTGAAACATGTATTGTTTTTCTGATGAGTCCACCTTTACTGTTTTCCCCACATCTGGGAGAGTTACGGTGTGGAGAAGCCCAAAGAAGCCTACCACCCAGACTGTTGCATGCCCAGAGTGAAGGATGGGGGTGGATCAGTGATGGTTTGGGCTGCCATATCATGGTATTCCCTTTGGCCCAATACTTGTGCTAGATGGGCGCATCACTGCCAAGGACTGCCGAACCATTCTTGAGGACCATGTGCATCCAATGGTTCAAACATTGTATTATTGAACCACTTTGGGGTGTTTTGGAGGAGCGAGTCAGGAAACGTTTTCCTCCACCAGTATCACGTAGTGACCTGGCCACTATCCTGCAAGAAGAATGGCTTAAAATCCCTCTGACCACTGTGCAGGACTTGTATATGTCATTCCCAAGACGAATTGACGCTGTATTGGCCGCAAAGGAGGCCCTACACCATACTAATAAATTATTGTGGTCTAAAACCAGGTGTTTCAGTTTCATTGTCCAACCCCTGTAGATCAGCACTCCGGCCTAGCAATTTTACTCTGATGAGAACAGACGAGGCAGCAAAATAATATGTCACCAGAATGCTTTATATTAGTGAGCCATGCAATGGTTTTGCATGTCTCACCTTTTTTCATATAATCTGTCCATGCTTTACTCATGAGGGTTTAACTAACCATAGGAATGTAGGTGTCAAAACATTTTTGCGAGGACACCAGTAGTCATGGCACTGAAACTCTCAAAATCCTGCAGTCGTTTTGCTTTTATTGTCACTTAAAGCTCACGTGTGAATTGAGGCATTTGAAAAACTAGTCAGAATACTGATATAGAATCAGGAAATTTTTTATTGCAGCTGTAGCTAATTATTTTGACTATACATGCAGGATGATCATTTTTGGGCCTGTTATCGATTTAAAAAGGATCTAGCAAAGCTGCTCACTACATCTATTCTCTGTGTGACGACAGAAGTGTTCACAGATGTATTTGACATTTCATCGTTAAAAAGACGTTTTTTTATTTAAAGTGGCTGAATTTTTATGATAAATCCAATTACATTTGTAGAAAGTAAACATTAATAAAATATTTCAAAAAGTAAATTCAGATGAACAGTTGTTGAGACATATGGACATAAATTCTAATAAGAAGGCACTTTCAGACTACTCCTTTGCTCTCTTTTAGGACGTATTAGGGGAACCCCGGCACGTAAACTGACTACTGCTACAACGGCTGACAACACAGACAGTAGCATAGAATCTGGTGTTTCTTTAGATATATTTCAGTTACTATCAGAGAGAGATGAAGCAGAGTCAGAAGAAGACAGTCAGCTGGCAGAGCACATATCCTTCGACGTGCCATCCAATTCTCTATTTTTGCCGGAGTCAGTCTGCATGAATCATACCGCACCACCAGGAAACAGAAAGAGCACAACATCTGGATTTTCAAAATAATTCACTAAAGACGGACTAGATCTTGCTATATCAATAAATACATGCATATAGTTATAAATTCAGTCATTTTCTTTGGCGCTTCTTCCATAGTGAGTTGCGGGGAAGCTGGTGCCTATGTCCAGCAGTCTATGGGCGGGAGGCGGGGTACACCCTGGACAGGGTCCAAACAACCATGCGTGTGTGCATGGTTGTTGAAAGGGACCAATTAACCTAACAGGCATGTCTTTGGACTGTGGGAGGAAGCCGGAGTACCTGGTGAGAACCCACACATGAACAGGGAGAACATGCACCTTGCCAGGAGTCGAACCCAGGACCTACTTGTTGCAAGGCAATAGTGCTACCAACTGCGCCACCGTGCATTCCTATTTATAAATACGAGTGTATATATTAGCAGTTGTTTACATTAGATCAATTAGTTCAGTTACTGGGCTATATACATTAACAAAGGTATACTAAACCAAAGAATTAAACATTAAATGCACCAAACTAAGCATCAAATATAGCTTCCCTGCACAGTTTACTCACCCATTGTAGAACAAAACATAGGAAAATATCTGGATGCATAAAATGAAAAGTGAAGCAGTTTAACTGGTTTAACTTTCACAAAATGAGTTGTTTTGGACTTGCTTCCTCATTTACCACTAGCTTTTATTGTGTGATCGTGCTTTGCAGCAGACCGGAGCGGTGCAGATGTAAATCAGAAGGGCAGAGAACTTTGCGGCCAGATCGGAGCGCAGCGGACTAAACAGTCTAAACAGTTTGTGTACAGGATGTGTGGTGTCTGTAGAGATGTTAGTTGCCCTATTCCTGACCCTAGAACTGTGCAAGTCCTGAATGGAGGGAAGGTCAGCCCTTATGATCCTCTCTGCAGACCTAATTGTTGTAGGCCTAGACAACAATCCCTAAACTTCTGTGAGCTGTGGAGGATATTTTATATTCAAGGCATAAAAGCCTTGTATCATCTCAGTGAATAATCAATTCCAGGTCTACTCAAGCATCTCACACTTGGAGGCATGCTGATAAAGGCTGTCTTGAAAAGTCTCTGAGCCCATTATGATAGAGAATGGGAGAAAAGTATACTAACACAAATGAGAATTTTGATGAGTATAGAAGTCAAGTAATCTCAAGTCATTGTTCACGGTTGAGAAGCGTCATCAGATAAAACTAAGAGAACAACAGTGTATGCATCCTCGTCGGGTCTGCCATTATGATATCAAAGCAGCTGTGTTTTAATTGAGAAAAGGGGGGATTTTAAAACATTTGGTTTTTTCATATGCTTCAAACTAAACTTGTAAGGCCTTAAACTTAACACATTTATGATGGAAATGTTGTATTTGTACACTCACACTTGTAATTAACTAGTTTGAAAATAATTTACATCTAAATGTGTCCTGATATGTTTTGCACATATTGATCATCTTATATTTTTTGTCTATTTTACGCAACACCTCAGGGCTTATTTCTTTCCAATCCAGCTGATGAAAGCCATTCATCTAAAGAAACAAACTGTCAAAGTGGCGCCTCTCATCACAGCAAGACTTCTCACCCACTTATGGTAGTTGTGATTTATAGAGCTCATATCCACTCATTTCCACTGCCTTCATGTTCTTTTCCATATGGTAATCATAGCTTTGCTCAGCAAAAGAGTAAAGAAAAGCTTGTGGAGATTTTATAAGTGGGCAGTAGAAGTAGATTGATTTAAAGAAGTTTTGCAACTTGAATTTCTCTCAAGGTTCCTATGCTGTCCTGAAAAGTCTTCAACTTGCTTTTATCATTTCCCAGGTCTAGAAAAGTATGGAAAAAAGATAATTGAGTATGGACAAAGGTTTGATTATCAAAACTATTTCCTTTCTTTCATTTTCTAAAGGCAAAAAAGATCATGCTATTTGGATTGTAGCAACTTTAAATTCAGATTGAACTAGATCTGTGGTTCCTAAACTGCTTTGTTAAACTGTCAAACAAAGCAGGTGCGCAGGGGTGAAGTGCACGACCCATTTATGGAGGCTACAGTCCTCGACGCAGCTCTCACGGGTTTGAGTCTGGACAAATCCTTTGCTGCATGTCTTTCCCCCTCTCTCTTTGCCCCATTTCCTGTTGGTCAACTTGCTAAATAAAGGCCACTAGTTTCACAAAAAAAATATTCAAACAAAACTATAAAACTGTTTTTTAACAAATGGAACAAAGGTTAAAAAAAAATCACAAAACTGCTTTAAATAACACACATTTAGTGCTTGATACTCCAGTCCAGTAGTTAGATTTACTTTCAGAATCTTTATTTGCCAGGTTTCTGCATGCAAACTTTCGATGAAGACATTTTGAATTTAAATACTTAAAAAATAAAATAGGAAATTTATTTTTTGTAAATATGTATCTATATAGTAGTTTTACTCACTAGTATCAGAGCTGATCTAAGTTTGTTCAGATCCCATTATTCTAACTTTTTTGTGAGATAAAATAAGGAGAATATGATAAGGCTACTTTAAAAAAGATTTTAACCATTAAAATGTCCACTTGCTAGTGGCACCGGGTGAAAGAACAAGCAGAAGCAGAGCTTGCTGGGTATTGTAGAGAAACTTCCTCCTGTGGTGGAAACTTAGCAACCACATAATTTTGATTTGAGTGTTCTGAATAAATTTGTCCATGAAATGATGGTTAACGTTTTTACAGAACTTAAAATGAACTGAAACTAAAAATAGTAATAAGGCAACATGACAAGCAATTACTTGACAGTCACTGCGTACCTCGTGTACTGAGATCGAATTTTATGAAGTTCAGTAAAATCAAAAATGCATACCATCTATTTATAATGACAAGCCTGTTTACCACTTCTCACCAATTATGTACTGAATAGATTGCCAAGTAATTTAAGACACAAATGTATGATTCCTTTTGTGGAAAGTATTATTTCAGTCACAGAGGAATATGGGGGAATCATTTTCAAATGTCTCCTGATGCTCAGCAGTTCAGGTTTGTCCAAGGTTGTAGTCTGTTACTACTGCGAAGCCAGCTGTACCTTAAATGTTGAAACTTGAACTTCCATCCCTCCCACTTCATCTCCTCTACATCAGTTCCACCTGCTCCGGACTAGTGAAGTGGCTGTGGATTTGCCTGGATGTTCTGAGACTATAAGCAGGTCAGCATATTGGAGCAGGGTGACAGGACGTTTTGCTAGTTAATTATTCTAGTATACGAACGGAAAGGTTTCACTGAGTTGCATTGTCGGACGGCTTCAATTTCATGCTTGAGGCGGCCGCAGACTTGGCCATAATTTCCCATGTGGCCTGTCACTTGTTCTCTCTACCTGTATACGTCTTCCTTGCAGTTGTATCCTGGAAGTAAGTCAGTGACCTTGGCATCAAAAGACCTGCTAATAAATACAAATAGACACATTTTAGAATTGTATACAATATTAATTTATGAAAGTTGGAAATGTTCTAGTCATTCTAGTTTTGCTTATCCACTTTAGTGACAGAGTCTGCAACCTCATGCTGTGGGCTCTGTTTCTTGGAATGTTTTACAGAGCTGATTGTCATGTAGGCCACACACTACACTACTGGTAAAATTCTAATACATGGGCCTTACTTTGCTTGGTTATTCACATTTACCTAGAGACTTTGCTTGTATTTAAAAGTACAAACTGCTGTAAAAGACAGCATTTTCTTACCTGATAAATTTTATGCCTTAAAAAAATACAGATGGTTGCCTTGTGGTCTGGCTGTTAATTTACTGCTCGGGTTATCTATAGTAGCAGAGGTATAATTTTGTTGTGTCCTCTCGCACAGCTTAAATGCAAGATTCCATTTGTTTTATAATCATTTGGCAAAAGGGTTTTCCAACAGAGCTAAACTGCTTTCTATACCTTTTTTTGTGTTGAAAATGAGTGGCCGTACATGAAATAATCTTTTCAAAATGAGGTCTTTTTTCCTTAAGTAAAGGCCTGCTGTCCAAACCATAGAGAATTGCAGGCTTAAAAACAGTTCTGGTATGGGCATAACATCATCTTTGATATATGGTTCCTTTGTGTTTTGGTGGGACTGCCTCAAAAGGCTTTTTGTTTCAGAGAAGTTATTTTTAAAAATATTTTGAAAACAAGAGTCTCATTTATAGTTTCAGGATTGTTTGATTTTCTGGCTCTAAAATATGATGAAATATGCCCGTTAATTTTAAATAAATATGTATATATGCCCACAGAGTTATATAACTATTACAGTGCTACAGAATTGCGGACCTCCACAAGTCTTGGTTTTTCCTTGGGTAAAATTTTCAAAGCTTCAAGGTCACATTTAAAACAACCATCTATTCAAACAGCACAGTTTCAAACCAGAAAATAGGTTCTGTGACCCAGAAATGAACGTGTTTTTCTTCCAAATCCGCGTACTGTATCTAGGCTAGTGCCAAAGCAAAAGACTATGTGAAGATGCTTACTAAAGCTAGTAAGAAAGTGTCATTGTCTGTAGTGAAACAAGTTGTGCACCAACAAGGGCTGAGAGACCACTGAGAGAGGATGAAGCCATTACTCCAAAAGCAACATGAAAAGCTAGATTACTCTGTGCAAATGCATCCAAGACCTTAATTTTTACAGATATTTTCTGTGGTCCGATTAAACTAAATTATAGTGGCCATAATGACCACCATTACATTTAGAAGTAAAAAGGGAAGGCTCAAGCCAGAGAGCAGTATCCTAACTTTGAAGTACGGGGGTGATAACATCATGTTGTGTGGGTGCTATGCTGCAAAAGGACTGATGGCATCAGGAAAGAACATGTAGAAATATTGTAGCAACATCCTAAGACATCAGACATGAAGTTGAAGCTTGTCAAGACTGGGTCTTTCAAAAGGATGAAAGCATACTACTTTTAGTGTCAAAGTGGCGTCAGGACAACAAACTCATAGTTTTGGAGTACTCATCACAAAGCCCTGACCTCAGCTCCATCAAAATTGATCAAAATGTTGTAGGAGGAGGTAAAAAAGGATACCCACACATTTGACTCAAGTAATATGGTTTAAAGGGAATTCTACCAAATACGTAGAGAATGTATATAGACTTCTAAATTTGCAAAATGTCAAACAGAAATCCTAAAAAAGTCTCTCGGTCAATCTGGCATTTAGCAAAATGATATAGTTTTGTTAATCCTGACTGGGCTGCACGGTGGCGCAGTTGGTAGCACTGTTGCCTTGCAGCAAGAAGGTCCTGGGTTTGATTCCCAGCTGGGGTATTTCTGCATGGAGTTTGCATGTTCTCCCCCGTGCATGCGTGGGTTCTCACCGGGTACTCTGGCTTCCTCCCACAGTCCAAAGACATGCCTGTTAGGTTAATTGGTCACTCTAAATTGCCCTTAGGTGTATGAATGAGTGTGT